AGCAGTGTTCCTCGGTAGCCTTTGCTTAGGTTGCTTCCTCCAGGTTCCTGCCCTGACTTTTCTCAGTGATGGCGTGATTTGAGGGTTGTAAGCCAAAACAAACCCTTGCCTCTCCAAGTTGCTTTCGGTCAGTGTTTTACACAGCAATAGAAACCCCAACTAAGACACAAATGTACAACAGTTCTTCTTTTAAATGTTTTGCTTGCGTGCATGTTCATTCACCGTGTGCATGCAGTGCCCACAGAGGCCAGAAGAGGGCGTCGGATCCTCTGGAACTAGACTTATGGACGGCTTTAGTCACCATGTGGATGGGAACTGGAAACTGAACCCTGGTCAACTGCAAGAGGATGCTCCTTAACCACTGAGCATCTCTCAACTACACAATAGTTACTCTTTTTTAAAACTTAGTTTTGGTTTTTTGAGACAGGGTTTCTCTGTGTGGCTCTGGCTGTCCTGGAACTCACTCTGTAGACCAGACTGGCCTTGAACTCACAGAAATCTACCTGCCTCTGCCTCCAGGCTTATGACACCATACCCACTTAAAAAAAACTTTCATTATTTACTTGTTTATTTATTATTACAGTAGTTATTCTTTATAAAAGTTTAAAATGTATTTTAAGGTGTATTCTTTGGCAGTTTTACACATGGATAAAACACATTTTTAGTTATTTTTATCCCTGTTATCATCTCTTACCATCAGCCACTGAGAAAATAAAGTGTCCATTTTTTTGAGATTCATCATCATAGTTAACAACAAAAAGTTGGGAACGCATAAACTAGAGTGACAAAATAAGACAGTGTCACTATTGATTGGGACTGTTCTGAAAATTGTTAGCAAATCCATCAGACATGGACAGACATATGGGGTAGAGCCAGGTAAAATGAACAAGGTCACTAATGGCAAATAACATTTCTCACTAGTAAAATCTGGGAAAAACATACAAGATGAGACATAGAAATGTTAACTTTCAATAATAATCATAATCATAATCATAATAATAATAAACTAATAGATTTCCAGGAAAATGCACCCTACAGAAATGCAGCCCCAGATGAATAGACTTTAGGAATATGTCTTTGGAATTTGGCATCTATCTTTCCCTGAATTTGAAAGCAGGGAGACTGAGCCTTTTGTTCTCAGGAGAAACAGAAAGCTGTAGAAGATTAAAGTATGTACACCATACCATTGACACCTATTCAGGATTTCAGTGGGCAACTCCTATGAGTTCTAAAAAGACTGATTCTGTGATTACACACCTCTTAGAAGTTATGGCCATCATGGGAATACCTGTACAAATTAAGACAGATAATGCCCCAGCATATATCTCCAATAAAATGAGACAGTTCTTTGCTTATTACAATATAAAGCATGTTACAGGTAAGCCACACAATCCCACAGGCCAAGCAGTCATAGAAAGATCCAATAAAACTTTAAAGGATATGCTAAATAAACAGCAACAGGTAACAATGACTCCTAAAAATAGATTACACAGTGCTTTATTAACCTTGAATTTTCTCAATGCTGATGAGAAAGAATAACAGCTGTGGAGAGACATTGGACGACAGACAAAACTTCTGAGCTAAACCAACCAGTTTATTTCAAAGATGTGCTGACCTCAGAATGGAAACCTGGATATGTCCTACATTGGGGAAGGGGTTTTGCTTTTGTTTCTGCAGGAGAAGAAAAGCTATGGATACCAAAAAATTAATAAAAATTCGATTCAAACAGGAGAAACCCCTTGGTGAGGAGAAGTAAAAGATCATCCACCAGTGTGACATCTCTATAAGTTGTAAGAAAAATTTAACAATCAAAGGTTGGGGTAGGGTTCTGTTTTTCTTTCCAAGATAATGGAAATACCCATCTTCCAGAAATCATAAGGCCTTTGATATCTGAATGTTTACATCAGAAAGAAAGAATCTATTGGTACCAATCTACACTGTCTAACATCTATATCTCTATCAATCTGAAAAAGTTGTGGTTCCAATTCAATTATAAATCAAGCTGGCTTTGGAGATGGAATTGGCTCACTCCTTCTCTAAACCCAAGCATATTGCTAAAAGAAAAGGTTGAGAGATTCTGCAGTCCTGTATCAGAAGAGCCCTCTTGTGTGGGACAAAAGAAAACCAATAAAAAGGCACCATTGTCTTCAAGATTCTAATTCTCTCCATGCTTACTCTTGATTTCTTGGAATCCTTTCTTACATGCCATGTCATCTTTAAAACCAAACTTTCCATTTTGATAAAAAATAAGTTTTTCCAATAACAATCTCTGAAGAAAGATGGGGCTCCAACAACAACTCTACCCAATCCAAAATGATGCCATGGTTATCATCATCATACTACACTTCTTGCCAGAATTTCAGACAATCTTACCCATTACTCTGAGACTTACTGCGGAATCTACAGTTAGTTTAACTGAGATTTAACTATCTGAGCTTTCTCATAGTACCCAACAGAGATACCACACCCTCTAAACAACAGGAAACAATTCTAAGAAAACGACACCCCTTCTCCCTAAGGTTTCATATTTCTCAGGGTTATGGATGATGGTTATAAGGTTAGGGGTGAAAGGCATTCCAGTTTTGATCTGGAATTTCCAACCCCCATTGAGGCTTCAGTAACTGTCACGTCTACAAGGCGGGGCCCGAGAGAGGACTCCTGAAGACCCGAGATCCAGATGGGCTGGCTCTCTTGGTTCCTGGACCCTGGACGCTGGAGGTGGACGGAGCAGAGTTCTCCAGAGAACACTGCCGGACTGTGCTACACCTTTCCCAGACCCTGCAAATTATCCCTTCATTTGTAAGTTACACCACAAAATAAACCTCCCTTTTAACTACGTGGAGTGGCCTTAATAATTTCACCAATAGAACACCTCTTCCTGCTGTTGTTAGCATTAGAACTTTAAGTTAGCATACAAAGTAGTGGGTTTCATGGTTAAGGTGCTTTCCAGGCAGGCAGTGGTGGCGCACACCTTTAATCCAAGCACTTGGGAGGCAGATGCAGGTGGATCTCTGTGAGTTTGAGGTCAGCCTGGTCTTCAGAGTGAGTTGTAGTCCAGCCAAGACTATATAGCAAGACTATGTCTCCCGCACAAAACAAAACAAAACAAAGCAAAACACCCAATGAAAACCAAACAACAATGAGAATAAGGTGGTTTTTTTTTTTTTATCAGTAGTTACTCAAGTATGTGAGAGACAAGTAATTTTAACCATACACAGACTCCTGTGAGTGGTTTGGAAAAGTGACCATCCTAAGTCCTTTTATGGGACTAAATGACCTTGATGGAAATGTAAAGGTATAAAGGTGAGGGTGGGATGAATTTTATTTATGATCACTGAAGAGAAAATAGAATTAATATTGTGACAGTGATGCACCCCAGCACTGAACAGAAACATGCTAGACCATGGATGCTTGACTGGCTTACTGTTGTGAATTTTATTAGTATGACATTGTATTAACAGGTTAACAATGAAAACATGGCCGTCCTAAAACATCCGGAGAACATCTGCTCCTCTTTAAAAATAAAAAACAAGAATCTTTATAAGCTGAGAATGGAAGGGGGTCTGCTCAACCTTGTAAAGACATCTACAAAAGAGTTAGAAAAATATGGCACACTTTGTACCTGAGCATGGAAATATGTCAATTCTTTTAAATATCAGAAGCAATAATGAATATCCAATTCGTGGAAAGGCTGAAAGTTTGGGGGCTCCATCTCTTGAGTGTGCACACCCATGGAACTATCAGCATTGTCTGGTGTTATTTTTTGTACCCCATTCTACTTAGTGAACCCTTTATAGCCACTTTCATATTTTGCTTTCTGTAATAGAAATATCTTAAGATTTAAGTCTCAGAACTACAAATATAAAATTATTTATTAAAAATGAACACGAGTCGAAAGCACAGGGAACTACTGGAGACATAGACAGGGCTTGTCCTTCTGAGCCATTTTAATGGGTCAGAATGTTCCCAATTTCCCTAGGCCTCTCCTGTCTACCTAGAGCACTTTGCAAATCCCAGAATGTTCCAGATCCACAGCGAGGGCTACACAAATGTGGACTTACTATATTGCCTTCATAGTAAGTCTGTTTTGGGGGAAAACATCCACGTACACCACCACAGCTTCACCTATTGCAGATGCGAGCTAGTGCAGCAAGAAAAAACTTAGGGCTTAGATATTTGAAAGGAAGAGGGAAGAAGAGCGGTCGGTATTAGCAAGATACACAACCGTTCACGTTAAAGGTCTCCAGTAATCTACAAACACGTATTTCATCATTAATGTGAGAGTATTAGTCAGCTTGCAGTTTAAGATTCTCACCAAAGTTTAAAAGAGATTGTTTAATCTGGAGCCAAATATGAGTAACCACGGTCTGGGAACATAGCTGTAGATTACTTCAAATTTCATGATTCAATGAGGTGTACTAGTACTAGTTTATAGTAAAGAATAAAGAAAGTCATGAATCAAGATGAGAGACACTTTCCAAACACATTGGTGGGAACATCAAAGCAGGGAAATTCTGCTATAGGCTGCAGATGCTGTCTGAAGATATTCTCAGCCCTTGGGTTGTGGACCCTCTCAGTCTATAAGCACATTTCAAAGGGCTTACCTAATGGTCCTGAGGGTGTTCGGCCACACAAGTGCATTTTTATACCCTGGAAGTGATTTGAAAAATACACACACCTGTAGCTCTGGTATTGGGGATTCTGAGTTGGAGGCCAATTTGGGCTACATAGCCATACCCTTTGTCAAAACCAAAACCAAAACCAAAACCAAAAAACCATCCCAATGCAAAGATAAAACAAAATTAACAAACTGAAACAAACCTAAGCATTTCCTAGAACAGGGAATCTATGTCTTAAAAACAGATAAACTTACATTTTGGAAAAGTATAAAGTGTTACCAGAATTCATTGTCAAGAAATAACGTTTTAGGTAGGATGATGCAGTGTCTTATTAGATCACTACATCACCGTAACTGGCTCTTTCTCCATCTGTCGTCACAGGAGACTGAACTCACAGACGGATGCCTAAGGTGACTGGTATGGAGGAATGGGAGAAGCATTCTAACTAGATATTAGACTCTGCCACAGGATGCAGGTAGTGTGTGAAAGAAACTTTTTATTTATTTATTTATTTTTGATCACTGAGTGGGATTGCTCCAGGTCAGCCATTCATTTTGATTCTTGCAGCAACGGTATTGGCCTCACAGTTCGAAACATCCTGTTCGTTTGTATTCGCCTGTCTGCAGTGATGTGTGAAATATGCAGATGAGAGCATAATTGCGCATGCCTTCAGAACATGCAATTTTTTCCCCACTCGAACAAAACACTACACTTCTGTTAAGCACCTGGAGGTACAGCCCCCCCTTCTTTGACGTTGTATGTATTTGCTAAGATGGCGCGTGCCATACAGGCGGGGTGTATGGGGTTAAAGCTACCGCTGGGGTCCCTGAGTTGGACAAGCTCATGTTTTGAACAGAAAGCCCCCCCCCCCAAATCTACTGCCATGTAAAGAAAGTGAAAACTCTGAGTCGGCACCACCCATCCTTCCTGGACCACTCTCTGCAAACCGAGGGAGGGGCTTAAACGCTTTTTAGCCCCGAAGGTCAGAAGTCTGACACACCCTTTGGGTTAAAAATTTGGATGTTGGCTGTTCTCTGGTACTACCTGAAGACTTTCCATTTCTTTATCATTTCCAGCTTCTTGACCCTACCCGGGCTTGGCCCCTCTGCTTCTCTTCCTCATCAAAGCCAGCTGCCACAGGTTGCTGAGTCCCTCTCAAATGGCCTTTCTCCAGCCTCTCCACCTCACCCGTCAACTGTTAAGGACCCTTGAGCTCTCCTAGGCTAATCCTTCTTCACAGTCCTTAACTAATTACAATTGCGAAGTTCCATGGAACAGGAAGGTACCATGTTCATACAGCAGGTGTGAGGGCACAGGCACCGGAAGGGGAAATTGAACATTGGACATCATTTCCCACTTCCTCTGCTTGCTCTCCTCTGGCCATCTTTCCACATGCCAGCCTCTCTGCTCACTTGCTCTCCATGGTGTGGAATGGCTTACACTCTTAGTTCCTATTTCTGCTCAGAGGGCCTTCAAGGACCCATGTGTCTAAAACTTGCCCTGTGTTCTCTTACCTCATACTATTCCTCGTTTTTTCTTCATAGAACTTCTCTCTTCTGTCAGGGTCTTCTGCTGAAGGTGAGAAGCGGGCCAACTTTGCTTCCTTGGGCCACTGAGAAACTAGCCAAGCGCCTAATACACAGAATGAGCATATCAATGCAATTTGCCTCTTAATGTTCTATGTTCTTCAGTAAGCTGGATCCTAACTGAGTATTTTGTGAAGATGAGCTGGTTGGTCTTTGAAAGTGTGTGCCAGAGAATGCCGTGTGTAAAACAGCGCATTGCCGTTCTGCCCTTTGAAAGCTGGGCACACATATATTCTGCGGTCAGTAGCTTCTCAGAGACAGCTCCAGCTATGGGAGGGATGGGCTTTTCTTCTTTAACTGCTTCAGCACTGGCCTCGCTGTTTAGGGAACATGAGTTGAGCTAGTACAAAGTGTTTGTGGTGAGAGCTACCACCATGGTTGTAGCAAGGCAAGGGTCAGCTGTCCCAAGACAACAGTAGTAGTTGTAGTCCGGGCTTGTAGTAGTTATCTGCCTACTTATGCAAGCCAAAGCTTGCTGGAAGATCAAGTTTTATGAGGAATTAGTTTATTTTAAAGACTGAAATATCTGTTTTAACTTGTGAAGTAAGTTTTGAAGATTATGCTATGTTCCCCACTGTCCCTTCTAAGAGAACAGAATCGTTTCAGTCAATAAAAAAATATACTTTAGGCTGGGCGGTGGTGGCATACACTTTTGATCCCAGCACTCGGGAGGCAGAGCCAGGCAGATCTCTGTGAGTTCAAGGCCAGCCTGGGCTACAGAGCGAGATCCAGGACAGGCACCAAAACTACACAGAGAAACCCAGTCTTTTTTTTTTTTTTTTTTTTTGGTTTTTCGAGACAGGGTTTCTCTGTGTAGCTTTGCGCCTTTCCTGGAACTCACTCGGTAGCCCAGGCTGGCCTCGAACTCACAGAGATCCGCCTGCCTCTGCCTCCCGAGTGCTGGGATTAAAGGCGTGCGCCACCACCGCCCAGCTCGAAACCCAGTCTTGAAAAACAAATAATTTTATTACTATATATATATAGTAATAAAAAGAGATTATGCTACTCTAGTGGCCAGATTTAAGCTGACACTAGTTGGCGATGAACTCAGATGAATAATAGGTGTCCTTTCATAAATAGCCCTATTACTTGAAGTTTTTGAGAACAGAGATCAATAATAATCAGGACAAAATTAAGTACCATCATCTTTCCTGCCACTTACAGAATATTTACTGTGTGTCAGTTGTTAAATTCTTCATGTATACAAACATACATATATATATATATTATTATTTTCTATGTAATCTTTTCATCCCATGAAGTCATGGAGCATTTATTGTTTTGTCTACCCATCAAGAACATTCCTTTCACCCAAAGCTCATTTTAACTCCTCTGCTCCCACCAGTTCTGGAGATACAGCCTAGTTATGGTCTCTTAGTATCTTGGCTGTCAAGATGAACATGTGATCTAGACATAGGTGAACAGACATATCTCAGAGCAGTTCTTTACATGTCAGGAATCAAATAGCTACTGAATAGCCACATGGGGGGAATTTCCCTAGTACCTATTCCAGCCTGATTCCAACCATATTTCTGTCAGTTTGCTGTGCCATGTCTTGACATTCCATAGTTGCATTCAATCACCCACTCTTCCCATTCAGATGGCGTCTTGAAAACAGGGGGGAAATGCACACCCTGCATTTTTATCAGGGTGCGGCCCAGACAGTTGTTGCCTTCATTTGTCTTTTGGTAGATTAATATTTTGTTCTTGTGTCACCAGGGCTAGGATGTCAGGTGGGCTCCATCTTTTGTGCTAATTCTAGCGGAATATAAGTGGTTGTTTGGGACTCTGTGTTGAGACGATATTCGTTACTTTTCATCTCGCAGTGACCAAATGCTTGAAAAGGAGCAATTCCCGGGAGCAAGGCTTGGTTTGGGCTTACAGTTTGAGAAGATGCAATCCAACATGCAGAGAAGGGCCCGAGAGCAGGACGGGGGGCAGGTTGGTCACACTGCGATTGCAGTTGGGAAGCACAGACTGGACAGGAGGTGGGTCTGGCTTAGTGTCCGCTCCAGGGAGGCTTCAGCTCCTAAAGGTTGCTCAACCTTCCAGAACAGCACCGCCAGATGGAAATCAGGCGCTCAGACACATGAGCACCCAGGGGATCGTTCACTTTCAGCTGAAGACTTGTCCTGGGCTAGTGGGAAAGTGAAGTGAAGAAATGAGTTATTAAATGTATTCAAATATTTGACTGCATTTGGATTACATTTTGGACATAGGAAATTATATGGTTTTCTTTTCTTTTCTTTTCTTTTCTTTTCTTTTCTTTTCTTTTCTTTTCTTTTCTTTTCTTTTCTTTTCTTTCCTTTTCTTTTCTTTTCAGAGTGTGCTGAACCAAGAACTTCTAACTTGTTTGGCTCAAAGAATATTTCTGTTGTGAGCTCATCTGTGTGTCAAACTAAACTCTTAAATAAGCCTGTTCACTGCAGGGCAATGGCATCTTCTAACACCTCCCTTCTCTACACCGTGTCCAGACAGTCTTACCCAATAACGATAGGGACGGTGACATGATCTGAATTTAGATTCCGAACTGAATCATTGGTGTGTGGGGGGGTCACTCTTTTCGGAGAGAGGGGTGTTAAATCAGAGTCACCCTGAGAAAACTGTCATGCCCCGGCATTGTTGAGCCTGTCTGAGCAATCGCATTAGGGCTCCCGTTTTGTGGGTTGGGGGTTCCATTTCTTCATCTTCGGCCTAAGTTACTTAGCAATGACCAACTTAACTATGCGCCCGCCATATTGTTTTGCGTGTTTGACTAGAACACTGACAGATTAATAGGAAGGGTAAATAGTAACAGCGGAGGGACCCAGTGTGGGGCAGCAGGATTGACTGCGCTGGACTTCGTTGTGTTTGCTCAGAGGAAGCCGAAGCAAAAGCCTGCTGGGAGGAGGTGACTCGGGTCATGGGCATTTGTTTCTCATCTCTATAGAAAACAATTGTCTCCTCAATGGAAGATGGCTTTTTCTGAATCTACATGGCTTCACTGACAAGGAGGAGACATTCGCCGTTCCGGGGTGTTGGCTGAATCACACACAGATGAAAAGGCCACACAAAAATCCAAACGTACTAAATTCCTCAGAGAATCCTTTGACTTAGGCTGAAGGAGAGAAACCTGAGAAAGTTTATCAACTATTCAGCGCCTCCATCCAATATTTGATGTTCAGAATTTTATGATGTTTCAGAATGATCCCTTCTCCTGATCCATGAAGGTAGAGCCCTGGACATCAAGCTCTGTTGAATTTGCAAGCCTTGGTTTAGGGGAAATCTATTTTGACTCAGATTTGTTCTTTGAACTTAAGTGGCTGAGGTGTCTTGAAATAAGGGGAAAGATCTCCTTTGGGTAAAACTGAACTGGCTTCAATCAAAGACAAAACTGGGTTCCCAGGGGATTTTACATTTTAGCACTAATCTAGTTCTTTACGTTACAGCTCATTTCTAATAAAAGTCCAAGAGTTTCCACACAGAGTCTGACCAGTCCTTCTTGGTCTGTCTGTCCCTGCCCCACTGTGTACGTGTGCACATGCATTGTGTGCATAGATATATAAATCTTCCTTTGAATCTCCCGGGCAGGCACGGGATGGGGCGACATTGGCAGCCTCTCCCTCTGGCTGTCGCTCTGCTTTGCTGTCTCTGAACAGATGTTGTTTTCTGACGTCTGCTTCTGCTCCCTGTGTCTCTCTCCGCTGTTGGACTCACGGTTTCCTTCCTTCTCTTCTTAGCGCTCAAGGGTAAGGAGCCGCATGGCAGCATTGTTTGTCGCGGTGCTGGAAAACATTTCAGCACCCATAAGCTTCTCAAACGGAAAAACCATTGAGAACTGTCTGTTTTTAACAACACTGTAGCATTTGTACCAACACGTGAAGGGTGAATCCCTACTTCAGCGAAGGCG